ATATATATATATATATATATATAATTGTAATATGATATATTAATTTATTGCCTTATTACCATCTCGAAAATGATGATTTGGAGGATTTTGGGCTAATTTTTTTTTGCTGTAACAGACTCTCCGTAACTTTTTACCAAATAAAAAAATAACTTGCAAGAGATAGTCAATTTATGAAAATTTAGATAACCGCCTAAAATGATTGTTTAGAAAAGTGAAATGATTTTTTTATCGTTTCCACTGATAAAAATTACTGAAATTAAATGTTTATGAGACAAATTGTTGGAATAGAATGCTTTTTTTTTTCAAAATTTTGATTTTTGTTCTTTATTTTAGAAAATCTGTTGAAGATGCTCTGATTTGTATCTGAAATATGTAAACACATAAGACTTCAAACTCGACATCACATTATTTAAAATCTTTTATAATACATCTTGTGATGATTACCAAAAAGCAAATAGATACATTTATGACTACATATTATATATTTTCCTAAACTGTTTATAGGGATGCTATTTTTGTAACAAGATAGTCCAATCAATTTTCGTACCAACTGTATCAATTTGGTAGTACCGTACTAATTATCTAAATTTGGTTGGTAAGTAGTATTAGATCGTGTACCACGATAATACCGACTCATTTTTTCATTTTTAATAATTTAATTTAATTAATAATGCAATATCTTAGTAACTGTAAGTTGGTACAAAAGTTATAATTAACATCAACTTTTACGATGTTGGTACAATATCATACCAACATGTACCAACTGAATAAATTGGTACCAATTATAATTGGCTGATACATGATATAAAATTTTATATATTAATTATAATTAATTAGTAATTATATATGAAAAAAATATGTTTCATATCCACCCCTAATCATTATAATTAAAAAAAAAGGGTTTATATTTTAGAATAAATAAAAAAACGTGTAATATTATAACATCCGTCCATATGAAGAAATAACCACCACCGTTGAGTGGCTTCTCAACAACTCCACAAATACATCACCTTTTTTTATATTTAAACATATATCTTATTATCAATAAAATTTTAATCCTTTTATAGTAATTTACAAGTCAATAATATGAAAGACTGTCATTTTTTGTTATTTTACATATATAAGTAAAATTTGTCAAACACTAAAAAACAACTTATCAGCTTATTGCAGTTTGGTACCGTTATAAGCTAATCAAAACACTTTTTATAAAACTCCTGTTTGATACCACATAAGTTAATAAAACACTTTTACAAAAAAACATAAGTTGTTTTAAATAAGCAATCCCAAACACTCCCTTAGAGTGAAGTTCACTTATGGTTCTTAAACATTCGTAATTTTTAATGAATATCGTTCCTAAATTTTAGAACGTATTTGGTCCAACACGGTTATTATTTTCCAGCAGATTTCGTCCTATAATCACAAGTTTATAGGAGGAGGGACCAAAACCGTTGACATTTCACAAATGTGAGGTATCATATCCGAGTTTTTGAAGTTTAAGGACGATATTCGTCGAAAATTTCAAACGTTACGGATCAAAATTAAACATCACTCGT